TCTCTCTCTCTGGTCTCTCTCTCTCTCTCTGATCTCTCTCTGTAGCCTCTCTCCTCTCGGGTCTCTCTCTCTCTCTCTCTCTCTGGTCCACCTCTCCAGCCCACAGCTCGCAGATGTGTGTGTCTCTGTGTGTGTCTCTCATTATCGGTCGAGGGTTCCAGTGTTGGCCAAACATCTCCAAACGTGTGCGCCCGGCAGGAGAACCCAGTCATGCGTTTTAACACGGCCTCCATCTGCATGTGACGCCGTGTGGCTCCGACGCAGCCGGCTCTTCCCACAGCAGGGGGAGGTTCATTAGTGCTACATGTGTTTTTCAAGCCAGAGCAAAGAAGGCAGAAAATCCAACTGTCATTTCACTCGGGCCGATGCGGTGTCGCCTGCACAGGTAATTCTTGATTTAAATGCAAAACACTTTTACATGTCATTCAGCACCGAGTGGGTTATTTTGATTGGCTGATAAAATAGCCCAATTTTGAAGAAATGTTACGTGTTGGACTGTTATAATCACATGAATCGCCTGAACATTGACTTTTCTCAGCTTTGCTCCTTTACACACTTTGTTTTTAGTGTGATTCCAGCAGTTTGACTTATGTATATTCTCCTATATGTGCGCCGCCATTGCTCTACCCTCAGTCCTCTGCTGATACCGAGTCCCTGTGTCCCTCTCCCTGGATTTACTCACATTCTTTGGCCCTTTTTCTTTTCTGAGTCTGTGATGCGTGCAGGTTTTGCCAGAGAGGAAATATATATACTGTATGATCACATTGCAATTCAACCTGGTCTTCAAAGGGCCGAGTGGCAGCAGGTTTTCATTCCAAGCAGGAGGCCAGTCCCTGTGCTCCTCAGAGTCCCAGCAGGAGGCGTTCTCGTCGTTCTCTCTCTCTGCTCTCTCGCTCTAGCCTCTCCTCTGTGGTCTCTCTCTCTTTGCTCTCTCGCTCTAGCCTCTCCTCTGTGGTCTCTCTCTCTCTGCTCTCTCGCTCTAGCCTCTCCTCTGTGGTCTCTCTCTCTCTGCTCTCTCTCTCTAGCCTCTACTCTGTGGTCTCTCTCTCTGGTCTCTCTATGGCCTCTCTTCTCTCGTCTTTCTCTCTAACTCTCTCGCTCTAGCCTCTCCTCTGTGGCCTCTCTTTCTCTGCTCTCTCGCTCTAGCCTCTCCTCTATGGTCTCTCTCTCTCTGCTCTCTCGCTCTAGCCTCTCCTCTGTGGTCTCTCTCGCTCTAGCCTCTCCTCTGTGGTCTCTCTCTCTGCTCTCTCGCTCTAGCCTCTCCTCTGTGGTCTCTCTCTCTGCTCTCTCGCTCTAGCCTCTCCTCTGTGACCTCTCTCTCGCTGAGCTCTATGTGTTTTACATCATTGCATTTCCTGTGCTTGATTCTCCGATCTGTTGTTGACGAATCCACATCTTTTAAAAACTCTCCGTGATAACTCCTGTTGTGATTTCTGCGCAACACAAAAAAACGTTGAATTGAATTTCTGAGTTTCACGACGATAGGAAAACCTGCACAAACTCCCACGGAAAAGAGAGAGAGAGACAGAGCCGAGAAGCGACGGAGCAAAGCGATCTGAAGAAAGCAGCCGATCTACGAGAGAGAGGAGAGCGCTGACGAGGACATAAAAGGGACTTCCACATCTGAACCAGCGCATATCAAACACTCCTCCCAATTATAGTGTATTCTGACAACGCACGCTGTCAATTTGGTTTATTAGCAAGTGACACGCGACCGCACGGTGTAGAGACAGATTATTACAAGCTTCCTTCTCTGAGCGGGAAATCTGTGGGCTTTTCTCTCCCAGGCCGATGACTGATGCGGCTTTTAACGCAAATACTTGAGATGAATCCGTTGCAGGTTTTGGGCGAAAGATTCTCAACTCTTTGGAAACTTGATATTGATACAGCTCGATATAACACTTAAAGTTGCAGAACCTCGCTTTCGAATGATACATAATGGCACTATGGAGAAACAAGCCAGACACATGGCTTGTTTCTAGCTCCCAAAGACAGTAGGTAAGGCATGGCCAAACTCAGGCCCGAGAGCCAATCGCAGCCCGCTTTCTCGTTCTGTGTGGCCCTATGCCTTGTTAACCCGAAATACCATTGAATACCAAGTTCATACTGTTACCCAGCCAATTTCAGCTTCTCTAATACAGGCCTGTTTTACCTCATTGTAAAGCTCAGATCCTTTTGAAACCATTTCTAATCATTTATTTTTTATTTTGGCTATTTAACTAACCTCAGCTTTCACAGATGTATAAATTACCATGTTATACCTAATCTAGTATCTCAAAATAGAGCAATTCCAGTCAAAATTGTTTTGAAGTCCGTGTTGTCGGCCCCTTGGCAAGTCTGGCAAAAGTGGAGTCAAAAGTTTGGACACTCCTGCAGTAAGTAGTATTTTTAGCCTCTGTCATATATTGAAATTAAGTTTTGTTTCCAGCCAATCAAATTTACCCTTAAAACTTTTTGACAAAAAACATGTTTAACAATTCATTCAAAACTTTATACTTGTACAAGACTCTTTCCGTTTGGATATACATTGGCTATCCCAGCTTTAAACGTCTTTTAAAAGCAATATATGGTGGTTTGAGGCCTGTAGTTTTGGCCTCTGATGACACTAACACTCTCATTATAAGTCTTTACAGTCCATTGCTCAGAAGAAAAATCAAATTCCATAGTCCACGACTTTAAGGACATTCTTTAACATTTATAGACATTGGTCCGTTGCCCGTTTGGCACCAATGGCTTCTATGTTTTTGTCAATATTGCATTTTTGTGTTAGAACTGTTTCTCTGATCTGTTTTGGGGAATTAACTTTGTACAGTCCTCCGAGACGACTGCTGTTGTGATTTAGTGCTATACAGAAAATAATGGAGTTGAATTGAAATGAATCGATTTCCGGAGTCTGCGAAAATGTTTGTGATGAATATAAAGGGGGCTAAAGCTGGTCCTTGGAGAGAACCCAGACAGACACAAAGACTGAGATCTGTGAAGAAATACACACTTTTAATTTAGTTTTTTAATGTTAATTTATGCATTTCCTTTCATCCATTTTGATCTGTTATGATTTTACTGTTTTACCAGATTGTGAAATTATGTTTTAGTCTCTTATCGTGCAGCACTTGTGAAGCACTGTGCTATATACTGTACATAAAGTGGATTGGATTGACAACAAATGCAAGGATCCTCACACATCTGGCCTTTGTTTACCCACAGAACAGGGGTCTATGTCAGAGTAAACACACACAAACACACACACACACACACACACACACACACACACACACACACCTTTTCTAAACATATACATTCATTCACATTACTCTGTGTCTATCTATTGTGTTTTGTCCAGACTTTTCAATGATTCCCAGAGGTCTCCCATCACAGTACTAACCATACCATGCCCTGATTAGCGCTTTTTAGATCAGCCACATTTACACAGCTGATTCCCGACGCTAAAGTCAGCGTCGAGAGCAATAATCCGCCTCCTGTAAGAACACTGGAGAAGCTTGTGTGCCTTGAATCCCTTGACTCCCATTTTTTCATCTGAATATCGTCTCTCGGTCGTGTCTGTGGTGGTTGCGTAATAAAACGTGTAGGTGTCTAAACATAGCATCTGAAAGAAAATACCCAGCGACATTTATTTCCATATCCTCTCACAAAAGGTCAGAATTACAATTGCGACAAGTCCTTTTGAGCCGTCCTCCTTTTCGACTCCGACGTGAGAGGGTTTGCGGGGTTTTTTCCCCCCGTTGAACTAGTTACAGCGATATGTTTTCAAACTTTTGACAAGTGAGCAAAAGCCAAATTACTTTTTTCCCCGAGTACAATGTGGAAGTGGAATGAGCGGGCTGCAAAAAGCCTGGGTTTTTTGACACTGGCGTCGCAGAAGTGTGTGGTTAAAGAGAGGGGGGAGGGTCCTTGATGGCGGTGAGAGCAGATGCATTAAGCTCGGTGGCGTCGCGTTATGCTAATGGGGCTCTCTTTGTCGAGCAATTTTCACGTCTTTCCACTTTCTCTCTGTGAGTCACGCTCCCGGGACATGAGCCGACGGAGGAAGGGGATCCAAATATTGTCAAAGAAAACCGTTTTTTGCCTGAATCCTATAAGGCAAGTTTGTAGGTAACGCTAAGTGCTTAATCACAGAACATTAAAAAAGAGTAAAGATAAAATCCTTCGGTTGTGGCAGCGAAAACTGTTTTTTTATCCTGGGTTTGAGCATTGTCAGAGAAGAAGCCTGTCTCACATTTTCAAGAAGATTGTTGCAGATTTTAGCTGGCTTAATCCGTCCCTGTGCTCCTCAGAGTGCTTTTTGTTAACATTGAGGTCTATGGGATAATTTCCTCGCTAATGCCCTGGTGAATTTGGTCTACAGTATTGCGTGGGTTGCCAAGAGCCCGGTTTAAGCTAGCAATCCCGTCTCCAGCTAACACAATACATCCATGGTTCTCAACATTAGCATCTGGAGCTGGGTCGCCCTCTGCTCTGTAGCGACCACAGCTAGTAGCATTTAAGTAAGTAAGTAATGTTTATTTATATAGCACATTTTACACTTTACAATGTTCAGAGTCAGATAATGTTCCAATCCTTCCACACACGGTGATGACAGAAGCGAGTCCAGAACACACTGGACCATCAAAGCCTCTGACCCAACACCATCCATTCACTCTCTCATTTACATTCAGACCTATTGGATGAGTTAGAATAGTATTGGTTTTATTTTATTTTGAAATCCTTTTATTAGTTTATTAGGGGTGGCAATGAGAGCTGCCCCCCCACACTCCTGGAGATCTGCTTCCTGTCTTGTGGGGGGATCGAACCAACGACCTGCAGGCCCAATGGTCTTTGCTTCGGTTACGTAAAAACTTTAAAAACTTGTATTAATTGTGTGGTTGCTTCTCCGGAGTCAAAGTTAGCAACATTAGCTTTAGCATTTCATTCATCAGGAGACAACAAAAACTCTATAGACAATTGTGCAGAAGTGTTAATTGACCTCTCCTCTCTCCTATCAGCTCGTGTCCCCCCTCCCTCCCCCTGCCTCCCCCTCTCCCCCCTCTCCCCCCTCTGAGTTTGCAGCGTGCCTATCTGCATGCCTGTGTTTTGCTCCGTGCGTGGGCTCCATCTTGTCAGAGCTCCGTGTCTCGCGTGTCTTTTGAGTCTCTCTCTCGTCTCTTTGCTCCCGCGATGCTGTGCTCACGCATCGCCCGCTGCCGTTTGGTCTGTCAGGGAAAAGTAAACTTTTTCTTTCGCTCTTTTGGGAGGAAAGACACACAAAAAACAAAAAAAACAAAGACATGGAAGTTTGATCGATTCCAAACCCCCCGGAGTTCGTCTTTGATTCTCGCCCTGAGTAATCAATCCGTCGTATCACACACACGCAGCAGCTCCAGACCCAGACACCAAGACGTCAAAGTTGAATATCCTTTCATGGTTTTTCAAAAGGGCCAGTGAAGCGCGTGGCATGGGGCGCTCTCTGCTGCTTCCCACGTTTCTCTCCAAACTCACCGCTTTCCAAGAAGCTCTTTGGCGTCTTTCACTTGTTGTTTACTCTCCTCTCGAGCCGTGGGCTTTTCTCACCGAAGAAACTTATGACTCTTCAGAGCGACAGGCGGGAGTAACGTTAAGATGGATCGATATGGTATACAGTATGGATATGTACACACACACACATACACACACACACACACACACCACGGATCCGAAGACATGGGTTTTCCAGTACATAGTGAAACACACAATGCAATGAAATATGTATTTTCTTATGTGCTGTAAAGTAGTGCAGTCACCAGGGGCGGATCCAAGGTTAGGCAAGGGGGGGCTGCTCCCTGGGGCCCCCAACAACCCATCTCTCTGAAATTAATAGTCTATTGGTTTTTGGTATGTTTAATATAATTGGTTTATTCTGAATATTTTGTATTATTAATTAGAAAGTGTTATTAGAAAACTTAACCATAACATAATAAAATACAGAATACACTTAAAAATGTAACATAAGAACATAAAGAAGCAGGAAGAGAAACACAAAACACAGGAAGTAAATCATGTAGCTTCACGACCAGTCCTACTCTACTCTACTCTACTCTACTCTACTCTACTCTACTCTACTCTACTCTACTCCCACCAACCTCCCCACAACAAAGCAGTATACAGGGAATTTCCTTGGTAACCATGGCTTCCAGCAGCACTCTGGCCAAACACTGTCAGTTAGAACACTTTAGTACCAGCTCGGCCTGGATAGAACCAGGACCAAGTGGTACCACTTCAGCCCCTATCCCCCGACTCCTCACCAGGTTCACATCCTGGTACTTGGTCTCTCTCTGTCACTCTCTCTCAGTCTCCCTCTCTGGGTCTCTCTCTCGGCCTCTCTCTCTCTGTCTCTCTCTCTGGGTCTCTCTCTCGGCCTCTCTCTCTGTCTCTCTCTCTCTGTCTCTCTCTCTCTGTCTCTCTCTCTGGGTCTCTCTGGGTCTCTCTCTCGGCCTCTCTCTCTGTCTCTCTCTCTCGGCCTCTCTCTCGGCCTCTCTCTCTCTTGGCCTCTCTCTCTGTCTCTCTCTCTCGGCCTCTCTCTCGGCCTCTCTCTCTCTCGGCCTCTCTCTCTCTCGGCCTCTCTCTCTGTCTCTCTCTCTCGGCCTCTCTCTCGGCCTCTCTCTCCGTCTCTCTCTCTCGGTCTCTCTCTCGGCCTCTCTCTCTGTCTCTCTCTCTCGGCCTCTCTCTCGGCCTCTCTCTCTCTCTGTCTCTCTCTCTCGGCCTCTCTCGGCCTCTCTCTCTCTCGGTCTCTCTCTCGGCCTCTCTCTCTGTCTCTCTCTCTCGGCCTCTCTCTCTGTCTCTCTCTCTCGGTCTCTCTCTCGGCCTCTCTCTCTGTCTCTCTCTCTCTGCCTCTCTCTCTGTCTCTCTCTCTCGGCCTCTCTCTCTGTCTCTCTCTCTCTCGGCCTCTCTCTGTCTCTCTCTCTCGGCCTCTCTCTCGGCCTCTCTCTCTCTCGGTCTCTCTCTCGGCCTCTCTCTCTGTCTCTCTCTCTCGGCCTCTCTCTCTCTCGGTCTCTCTCTCGGCCTCTCTCTCTCTCGGCCTCTCTCTCGGCCTCTCTCTCGGCCTCTCTCTCTCTCGGTCTCTCTCTGTCTCTCTCTCGGCCTCTCTCTGTCTCTCTCTCTCGGCCTCAGTCCCAACAGTTAAAAGTAAATATTGTCCAAACGAACTCTAACATTAAATTCTCGGCACATTTTCTTTCATACAAATCAAATCAAAAATGTGATTTTTTTTTTTGGACTCAGAATTGGTTTCAGAAATAGCTCCTGGATTTCATCATGAGGCGGTTTGTGAGCGTCACCATGGCGACAGTACCTCTCTGATGGCACAATTATTGAAATGATTCTCCAACGACGTGTCACTCACTTTTCTATTGGTGAGAAGTGGTGGTGTTGGAGTGTGTGTGTGTGTGTGTGTATGTGTGTGTGTGTGTGTGTGTGTATATGTGTGTGTGTGTATATGTGTGAGCGTGAGTGTGTGTGTGTGTATATGTGTGAGTGTGTGTGTGTGTGTGTGTGTATATGTGTGAGCGTGTGTGTGTGTGTGTGTGAGCGTGTGTGTGTGTGTGTGTGTATATGTGTGAGCGTGTGTGTGTGTGTGTGTGAGCGTGTGTGTATGTGTGTGTGTATATGTGTGAGTGTGTGTATATGTGTGAGCGTGAGTGTGTGTGTGTGTGTGTATATGTGTGAGCGTGTGTGTGTGTGTGTATATGTGTGAGCGTGAGTGTGTGCGTGTGTGTGTGTGTGTGTGAGTGTGTGTGGGTGTGTGTGTGTGAGCGTGAGTGTGTGTGTGTGTATATGTGTGAGTGTGTGTGTGTGTGTATATGTGTGAGCGTGAGTGTGTGTGTGTGTGTGTATATGTGTGAGCGTGTGTGTGTGTGTGTGTATATGTGTGAGCGTGAGTGTGAGTGTGTGTATATGTGTAAGCGTGTGCGTGTGTGTGTGTGAGCGTGTGTGCACTTGTTTTCAACTCCTGGTGGGTTCCATAACCTGAGATTCCACTCACGTCATGGGGACTGGTTTTACGTGGTGGGGCCCGAACACCGGACCCCACTGGTCCAAGCTTAATAATCAATGGGTAATGCTTTTCTAACGGTCCTTATGCAGTCTCTGTAAAAATATGGAAAGGACCCCTGGAGGTTTACTTTCCTGAAAAAAGTGTGTTATGTGTCGGAACCCTGGTGGTGGGTTGCGGGATATCAAGGAGGGGCACACTGGGGCAATTTCAGTCCAGCAGGCTGGAGCCAATCATGGAGCAGCACAACAGAGGAAATCAGGTGTCAGGCTAGAAAAAGGTGCAAGTGTGTGGTTCATTAGGCTGCAAGAAATCATGGAGGAGCACACTGAAGCGCACGCTTACAAACCACTGGTAAGTGCTGACTACAAGTCATGACTTCAAATTGTTATATAGAATGATTACAAATTATTTGTTGTTTGTGCAGCTTAGTCAAGAGTCCCTAATTGATGAAGTCGACTCAGATTCTGACGATTTAACTGTCAAGAAGAAACCTGTAAAAAAGTATGGAAAAAGAAAAATCAAAAACACTTTTCTTCAAGACTCGGAAAGTGACGAACCAAAGGCAAATAAGATTGTTATCATGCAGCTGCAAAAGAAGAAAAATGGGGGGCGAGTATACAGCAAGAGACACTTCTGCCTCTACTGTTCAATGTCCTGCCACAAAATGTCCCGTCATTTGACTAGAAAACATGGAAATGAAAGTGACGTAGCCAGAGCATTGGCTCTACCTGTGAAATCTAAAGCACGTAAACTTCAGTTTGATTTGATCAGGAATAGTGGAAACCGTGAGCACAATTTTGAGGTTTTAAAGGCCGGCATTGGAACTTTAGTCCCAGCTAAACAGCCAAATTCCCCAGTTAAATCCAGTGAGTTTTTGCACTGTATAGACTGTGGGGCATTGCTTAAGCGAAAGTCGCTGTGGAGGCATGTGGCCAGGTGCCGGCTTTCACAGAAAGATGCCCAGGCTAAACCAGGTAGAAGTAGGGTCCAGTCCCTCTGCTCCCTAGCCCAGCTTGTACCGGAGGGCATCAGCAAAAAGCTGTGGTCTTTAATTTCGGCAATGCATCAGGATGAGGTCACGGGTGTTGTCAAAGCAGAAAAGGGGATTCTGAGACTCGGAGAGCACCTGTACTTAAAACACGGGCATGATAAGACAAAGCATGATTACATTAGGCAGAAAATGAGAGAAGTCGGTAGGTTAATTAACGAAGCAAAAACCGCAGGGAAACTGAAAACAATTAAGGATTTCTTTATTCCTTCCAACTTTAACCATGTGATTGATGCAGTCAGGTCTGTGGCTGGATATGATGAGGAAACAAATCAATACAAGACTCCATCCTTGGCCCTCAAACTCGGCCATAGCCTCAGAAAGCTAGCAGATATTCTTGAATGTGACTCAAAAATGGAGCATTGTGTTGATGAACTATTTATTAAAAACCTCCAACGAAGCCGGCTGCTTTTTGAGAAGAGGTGGGACGTCTGTGTTTCTTCTGCTGCCCTACAGACCCTCCGGCAAGCCAAGTGGAACACTCCGGACCTGCTCCCTCTGACTGAGGACGTTAGAGCCATGCATGCACATATTGAGGTATGTCGACCTGAATATGTGCAAACCCTAATAAGTGAGCCAACGTCTAAGCATTGGTCTAAACTGGCAGTTTTGACTCTTTGTGAGGTCATCATTTTCAATCGAAGAAGGGAAGGTGAGGTTTCAAAGATGCCACTGACAGCCTTTACCTTAAGAAGTAAGACTGGGATCCATTCTGACATTGCTCTGGGACTGTCCCAACTTGAGAAAAAGCTGTGTCAGCATTTTCAACGCATTGAAATTAAAGGGAAAAGAAGTCGGAAAGTGCCGGTTCTTTTGACTCCTGAAATGATTGCTTCGATGGAGGTGCTGGTGGAGAACAGAAGGGCCTGTTCCATCTCTGACCATAACCCATACTTCTTTTCCCGCCCGGGCGCAGACACCCACATCAGGGGATCAGACTCCCTACGGCAGGTAGCCAAAGAATGTGGTGCGGTGCATCCAGAGA